TTTTTTCTTATCAAATATGGTGTCATTTTTTCATCTTATTTTGTAACGGTGCATTTTTTTATGAAATTGACTGTGTTTGGGTTTGATAGCTATGGGAATCATTCATCGTCAGCCTCGTCTAGAAGAATTGAACATTTTGGTGATTGGCTTGAAGTTCCCAAATGTAATTGTGGCAATGAAATGAGAATTCAGACTGCATGAACTGATAGCAACCCGGGAAGAAGATTTTGGATATGTAATGAAAAAGTTAGTGATGTTTACCTTTGGGATGTGTAAATGTCAATTGTATTAGATATGGTTAGATTTATGAATATAATGCTAATTATGTATAGGGATGGCGTAAATGCAAGAGGTGGGAGTGGATTGATCCTCCAATGTGTGACAGAGCGATAAAAATTATTCCTGGCTTGTTGAAGAGAATCAATGCTGCGGAGGAGGAAAACGAGCAACTAAGACAGCAGATAAAGGCTAAACAACCAAAACAAGGCACTAAAATCACTCATTTGCTGATTGGGTTTTGTGTGTTGTGTGTCGGCGTATGTGTGTACTTTGGAAGGAATTAAGATAAGCCTTTTGTGGATTGGTTAATGTGTGTTATGTGTAAGTGTATGTGTGTACTATTAGGATTGACAAAAGTGTAATGCTTGACATTTTATGTGGGATTTGACAAAAGTGTAATGCTTCATATTTTATGTGTTCTTATGTTGTATTTAATGTATGTTTTGTGTGATTGATTGGGTCAAGAATGTATTTTATAAACTGAATTGCAGCAAGAGTAAACAGCATATTGTTCCCTTGCGCAACAGCAACACCAAATACAAATGAACAACAAACAAAGCCCAGAGATTACAAACCAGATCAGAGCAAGTAAAAGAACACCACTTTGTTAACAAATGAAAGTTTCTAGTGGCCAAATATTACATGGGCATTGAAACCAGTACATAAACCCACCAAAAACAGCAAAATGGAAGTTTCATGTACATAAACCCACCAAAAACAGCAAAAAAGATATGGGCATTAAAACTAGTACTTTAGTTTTGCCAAATATGCATGTACATAAAACCTACCAAAAACAGCAAAAAAACATGGCCATCAAAACTAGTTTAGTTATGCCAAAAAACCCCACCAAAAATAGCAAAAAGACGTTATTCTTAGTCCACGTGCAACGGGTCATTCGAATTGTTCTTGAACCTTGACTTTAGTGTGCACGTAGGCCTAGTGACATATGGCCTCACAGCCTGCATCTTCTGTTTCTTGGAAGTACTAGGTGCAGTAGATACTTGGGAGATGGGGGATTGCACCATGTGTTGATTTGGGATGTTGTTCACAACCGGGATAACATCAAAATGTTGGATTTCACTGTCTTGAGCCACTGGAGTTGGATTCAATTGGTCAGTTCCAGACCATAGATCCGATTCAACTTGCAAATCAGCCCACCAAGGTTCTGCAGATTCTTGAGCAGATACTTCTGTCTGAATTACATTGTTGGACGCAGCTTCCTCCTAGACAGATTCTCGAGCTTTTCTCTGTGATTTTTTTTGTTTTGCTGCAACCTAAAAAAAATTATGCACATCACAATGTTAGCAACTTACAGTGACATGAATTAAGTAAATAAGACATTGGGGTACCTGTCTTGCCACTGCCTCTGGATCTTCGGGGCATGTTTTCTTATTGTGGCCTACTTTTTTGCACTTACCACACCTTCTATTAGTAAATACACCAGACAACTTTTTACCATCTTTCGTTAGTTCACCCACACTTTTCTTTCTCTTTTTTTTGGTCTTCCTGCTTTGGGTGCCAATAAAGGAGGGTTCAATGGCTGTCTGTCATCATCTGGCCACTCACTTCTACCCCTTAATGGTTTAATGCAGCCTTTATACACAGCCTTATATGTTTCTACTAAATAGTAGTCGTCTACATATTCCTCCACCTCTCTTCGATATTGTTGCCTCTGTATCCATATTGCACAGATAGCATGTGCGCAAGGGATCCCAGTCAATTGCCAACTCTTGCATGTACAACTCCTTTCAACCAAATCAACTACATGTCGCTCCCACATTTTTGCCCTATATCCTTTAACTTCAAAGAGAGATATGTCACTTTGAATTGCAGTATAGGCACCTGCTAATTTTGAATTAATGGCTAGTTTAGAAGCCACTGTTGGACACAACAAACCTTTCCCAGAGTTGGACTTCTCCCTCAAATCAAAGAATCTTTTCATGAGCATTTCCCTAATGCTTTCAAGACACTGAATGAGAGTTTGAGACCTGGCTTCTTTCAAAACTCTATTATACGACTCACAAATGTTGTTGGTCAGAATGTCACTCCTAGGTGCAGTGTGGAAATGTGATCTGGACCACTCCGAAGCTTGTTTATCAACCAACCAATCATACGCATCAACATCTTCATCCTTTATTTTCATCATAACTTCCTCGAACTGAGACACTGTTGTTGCTTTAGCAGCCTCCCATAACATGTCTTTTAGAGCTTTTCCTGAAAAACCAGCATGTTTGAAGTTTCCTTCTAAATGTCTTACACAAAATCGATGCATTGCACGTGGAATCACATCCTCAAACGCGGGTAACAAACCCTTTTGCTTATCTGTGAGTTAGTAAAGCACCAAAATATGCATGTTTAGACAACTTAAGAAAATACACAATTGCTTCTTTATTTATATAAAAAAGTGTATTAATAGAAGTATACCTGACATAAAGGTAAACCTTGGTTCTATGGAATCATTTAGCTCTAAATCAAATGTTAGAAGGTCCAAAAACCATGTCCAAGATTCCTTGTTCTCTGACTCGACTATGGCATAAGCAAATGGAAAAATATTCTCATTACTATCTACACCATTCGCAACTAGCATTGTTCCTCCAAACTTCCCCATTAGGTGGCAACCATCTAATCCTATAATCTGCCTACATCTTTTGAACCCTTCACGACAAGCTTCCTAACAAAAGTACACCCGCTGAAATCTTCGTATGCTACCATCGTCAATGTATTTAACTCGACAAGAGGTCCCCGGATTAGTCATCATGATTTCCTTATAGTACCTCCACCATATCTGGCACTCCTCCTCTGCAAGTCCATGATCATCTGCGTACCCCACTCTAAGTGCCCTCCAAGCTTGTTTGTATGATAGGTGACACTTCTCTTTTGTTTGTGCACGCATTTGAAAGTCTTTCACCTTCCAGTTTGGATGATATTTCATTTCTCCCTTCCATCTCTTTGCAAGAATTGTGGAGTTCACCATCTTGTTGTAATATTTCCAACTGCATCCTTCGTGAACGTCATTGAAGTAAGTAATTCTAAAGTCAGTGGTCCCTAACAGCTTGTGACACCTCAACTTCCAAGGGCACCGACTCTTATGCTGATTGCTAGCACTTTCCTCTTCATGTTTTGTCTTTTTTCTCCTCTTCTCACCCCATCAACACAACTTACATACACTCTATTGCTATCATTCTTATCGAATTTTAAACACTTCCCATTATTAAATGCATAATTACTTACTGCCTCCTTGAACAACTTCTTACTAGGAAATAATAACCCCACCGAGAAGTGTGGATTCTTTAAGTCCCTTTTTCCTTTGAAAACAGGAAGTTGCACCTTTTCATTCCCGTCACCTTCTGACAAACTATCTTCATCACTCCCAAGGAATCATAGTTCTTCAGTACCTCTCTCATTCTCTTGTAACTCATTTGATACTTTGTTGCCTAGCCCACCAAATTCTACCGTGTTGTCCACATTAGAATCAAATAGGAAATCATCTTGTTCACCATCCGTCTCGTCAAAGTCCTCGGCAACCTCTGATTCAGATTCAAAATCTTCATCATCTAGGTCTTCATCATCATCGTACTCATCATAAGTGGCATGTGTGTCATTTTCATCCCCTGTTACCTTTGTTGTAGCCACCCAAATTTCAACTACAGCCGGCAACTTATCTATTGCAACCAACTCCCATGCATCACTATCACTGACTAACTCCTTTAATCCCGAGTCACTTTGAAAGTATATACTAATATCTTCCCAATTCTTAAAACCAAATTCCTCAATATGATGCTTTAATAGCATCATACCCCACTCATCAAACAAAGCATTATGAACAACTTTTACAAAGCCGCCATTGTAACTCGGAAGCGCACCTCCGATACAAACAGATCCACCAAGCCTAAATTTCAGTTCAAATGTTCCTACAAAAGAAATCCAAATCAGTGCACTAGAGTATCATATCAAAATCCAATCAAAGTATAATTGAATCAAAGTATAAAGAGGATACTTTTGTTTAAAAAATCATCTTTATTCTCGTTGGTTCAGATGAAGAGTTTTTTTTCTGGTAAACAGAAAAAGAATTTTTTTTTCGGCTCCATCTGTAACACTCTTCTAACTACTTTCCTCCCTACCCAACTAAGTAAAAAGAAAAAAAAATATGGGGACCAAGCTCTGAGTCGCAAAGGAACAAACAAAGTTAGAATTTTAAGAGCAAAGGAACATATTTTAAGAGCAAAGGACCAAGCTCTTTATCGCAATTTTAAGAGCAAAGGACCAATTCAGTCGCAAAGGACCAAGCTCTTTATCGCAACATTAAATTCACGCACAAATTTTAAGAGTAAAGGAACAAATAAAGTTAGAATTAACTTCCATTACCTTCAAATGTAGACATCAAAAGCTCTAAGTCACCAAAATTAGTAGGTGATGTCTATCGAAATCACAGACATGAAGAAATTAGTGGGTGAAGGCGTCCAAGCTTAGAGATGAAGAAAACCCTAAGCATGGCGTGAATAGTAGTTCAGTGAAGTCGCTGAGGGAGGAGAATAAAGTGAAATCACTTAATTGACCTCATATTAACAGCAGTGAGACGGGAAGAATGACGGAGGATCAATTAGGAAAAAGCACCCAAACAATAAAGACTAAATATTCAATACTTGTTAAATAAGGACTAAATAGGGAAACCCCTAGTTATAAAGGACTATTTAAAGAATTTACTCTTTATTTAATCATATCGAATTCCAACGTCCTTTCACTCATTATTTACTAGCTTTTAATTGGGTCGTGCAAGGCAGGATTAGTTTATTGAACAAACTCGAGATCCAAAAGGGGCCCATGGGAAGAGGGGAACGCCCCATTGAAATTAGGGAGTACATCAGACGGCGAAAGCGCGAGGGAGTGAGTGATCTATGGAAGCTCTGAAGTCTCAGCTGCGGATTCTTCTGCTTTGTTTGCTAACATTTTCCGGTCTTTTCGTTAGTAATACCCTCTCCGAGGGAGTCACTCCCAAGGAAGCTAAAGAGCTCCGAGATGAGGTACTTTAGTTCTCCATCGATTTCACTCCCCTATACGAGCTTTTCTTGAAGATCAATTCACCCCTAATAAATTACAGCTGCAATTCAAATGAATTTATCAATTTTCTTTAGTTTAGTCCCCTGTTTAGGCTTGATCTTTGAAGAAGACCTAATCACCACACGAGTTCAATCATTTTTCCTGAATCTCAGAACCTTGCCCATTCTTGCAATGCGGCGAATTCGGCCATGTATTTTCATCAACATTATAGCCAAATTTTAACCAGTAGCACGCCAGGATGGGTCCAGATCAGAGACATTCAAACACTGTTTGTGTTTGAAATTGTTAAATTAAAGACGCCATGTTGACAAGACTCACTTTTGATCGTGATTAAAATTTGGCTATAATCCTGATAATATTTGAAGTCCATAGCTCAACTAACAAATATAACAATGGAAATGGGTTGGCTAGATTCATAAATTTTCTTAGAGATATGACTTGTAATTTGTAGTGGTTAGGCCAAGGAAGGATGATATTTGGAAGGTTGGGTAAGTCATTACCATGTTTGCTGATCCATCTGTCTTGGGAAAGTTCGAGTCAAATTTCTTCATTTCTTGAAACTAGGGAAAACTTTCTAACCCATTTAGCTGGGGTTTTTTTGTCCCAAGGATATCATCTGTTGTTTTCACCTTAATTTTTAAATGGAGTCAGGTCCAGAGTTCGGAGTCAACTAAAATCTGGAGTACGGGGTTCACAGTCTGGAATATAAAGTTGAAAAAAAGCATGCTCTTTCACTTTCCTAGAATTTACCTTCCCAGTAGTGTAATGTGATTCATAGGCTGTGGAGTAATTGAGAAACTTTGAGCAACATCTATTTATGTAAAAAAGTCATTTATGACATTGCCTATTTCTTATTTTCCTTATGTATTTGGGGTACCTTAGCAATAGCAAATTCTATAAAGAGACTGGTGCTGTTCCAACTGAAAGACCTTGTTTGTCTTTTAGGTACGGGAAATGTTTTATCATGCATTTAATGGGTATATGGAGCATGCTTTTCCACGTGATGAGTTAAAGCCTTTATCATGTGAGGGTGAAGATACACTTGGTGGCTATGCCTTGACAATGGTAAGGGAACTACTCTGGTTAGTATAATTTATCAGCAAACCCATGCATTCAATCTCGGTGGAGTCATATCTAATGTAGCTATTATATGCACCGCTCCAGATTGACTCATTGGACACATTAGCTTTACTTGGCGATCAAGAGCGCTTCACTACTTCTGTTGAATGGATTGGTAAAAATCTTCGGTTTGATATTGTGAGTATGTACATTGATAAAAACGATCTTCTAGTTTGGAGCTTGTTGGTAAAAATCAAATCGATAAACAACTCTTTTGGGAATGATTAAAATTTCCCTGATCTAGGGATTTCTAATTTCAAAGATTATGATGAAATATGGGATTTCTGGTCTTATGAACCTATATTCATGGTGTCTTCCTCTGTGTATGGAACTGTGGCTACTAGCACGCCACAAGTGGTGGCCTGGTCCCATATGCGCAGTGGCAGATCTAGGAAATCAAGTGACCTGGGGTAAAAGTGTAAGAGTACGCTACAGGGGTGCCCCCGGTTTTTTCAAAAGGCAATATGAAATGCCCCAAAAAGTACTCCCTCTGTCCCACTACTTTTGTCCCATTTTGCTTTTTTGGTCCTTCTTACTATTTTTATCCCATTCCATATTTAGTCATATTTTTGTGGCTCACAATCAGTTTAACATTATCTTAAGTTTTAACATCAATATCAACCACAAACTTTTCTTAATTTTCATGCCACTACCCCATGTCCCAAAAATAGTGGGACGGCTGGGACGGAGAGAGTAATAAATTTAATCTCAGACAAGCATTCAAATAATTAAAATGACAAACTCTCAAAAAGTATAATTTTAGTTTCATATTCTATGATTTTAAGGCATGTTGGTTAGACTTAGACATCATTTACAAAACTCAATGCACCTGACTAAATCTAGTTACTAGTATTTAATTCAAAAGCTATCTTTTAGGTAACAATAATTCTATAATTGAGATGAAATATCCACATTAAAAATTAAGTGAATGGACTATTTTTTTTAAGGGCGGCTAGTTTATTTGGTTTAACTTTCATTTTGTATTCTACCTCCATCTCAAAATGCATTTTACATTTTCTCTTTTTGGATGTCCCAAATTGAAACTTTCACTTCTTCCACTTTCCCTTTTAAGAAATGAATATGCCTCTCTTCAAAAAAAAAATTCAACCACACACCATTCAGTTTTCGCCAAACATGTTTATCTTTTTAACACTTTTCTTAAACTCCGTGAAGCAAAAGCGTAAACTTCATTTTGGGACAAGGGGGAGTAGTTTTTTGTCGATTATATCAATGTTGTAATCTATCAAAGGGTTCTTGAGTGACTTGAGGAGTTGATAAAGTTGTGTTCACAATGATGCACCCTCCCACCACCAACAATTAAAATTGTGACTAATGCATGCATTTACATGGCAATGACAGAACAAGACTGTTTCAGTTTTTGAGACTACAATTAGGGTTCTAGGGGGCCTGCTTTCTGCTCATCTCATTGCAAGCGATTATAATACGGTACTATTTATTATGAATAAACTGCCAACCAGCTGTCTATGTAGTTTTCTCATATTTTCCCTGGCAATTTTAGTTTTACAAGGTTTTAACATACCTTGATATGATAGGGTTTGATACTTCATACTTCCCTAGTTCTGCTAAAATATTTAACTTGTCTGGTCTTATAATTGCAGGGAATGAAGGTTCCTACATATGATGATGAATTGCTTTATTTGGCTATGGATCTAGCGCAAAGAATGTTGCCTGCATTTGATACTCCTACAGGTCTCATGCCCGTGGTTTGAGAGCCATTTTAATATACTGCTCAATCATAACTACTAGGAGTGCCCTTATCTACTTATGTCATTTCCAATTTTATTTTCTAGTCTGATATTTATGTGTTCTATTTTAGTTTCCACCACTACCATCAGCACCATCATTATGAGCACCATAATCCCAAGTCCCAACTAGTAAGGGCTGGTGGCATTAAATTTATAGTGCCAGTTAATTGTATAAAATTAATTAACGCAATAATGCTACCAGTTTATAAAAAAGCACAGTGGCAACATTTTATGCCAAATGCCCTTCCCGTCGCTACCTTTATACGAGGGAACAATGAGGTGAAAATTCCAAAACCATTACCATCATGGTTTCATAGATTATTTCCACATGTATGGAAAAATAATGAGACAACACGTAATTGAGATGTTTGCATGGAGATGGTAATGTATTGTCAGTTGTCACTTCAATAGCATTATTGATATTGCATGGCCAACTATTCTTCACTACACAAAAGTGCTTCTTAACATGTCCTATCCCAAGAAACAAATCAATTGTCAACTTTTAGTACTTTAGAGGTTTAACTTTCCTTATTTTTAGTAATGGAAATAGGACATTCAATAAACATTGAAGAAGTAAAAAGCTAATTCAACTGTTCCACTATACACAAAGCAGTGAGCACTTATATATAGAGATACGTGTAGTCTCTAAAGTCCAAACCTGCCATATGATGATTTTCCTGGGACCATGGAAGTATACTATGTCTTAGAATTATGCTCCCCCGTAACAGCTGACTTGGCTGTATTTATTTTGATGCAGGAATACCATTTGGATCTGTAAACTTGTTGCATGGAGTAGATGATAATGAAAACAAGGTGTTATTATCCTCCCCTTTATATGTCTTTAATTTGTTGGCCTTAAACTCATTTACAATGGTTAGATCAGCGCTAACGGAGTAATGGAGAATTTTGTGGAGGCAAATCTTCATGTTGCCTTGTCTTTATGGAAGTGCTGTATAGTTTTTGCAAAACAAGCAACCTCTGGGGGGGGGGGGCTCACTTATTTTTTATTATATATTTCAAAGTGAAACGTCATACCCACCCATGGTTTACAAGGACCATGTAGACATGTACTCTTATGCTTTTCAATTTTTGTATAGTGATTAGTGTTTTAGGTATGTTTGGTGGTGTATTATTTTGAAGGTCTTACAAGGCTATTTTTGTGTAGATAATGATCTAAGCAACCAGTCTAGTAAACAAAGGTCAACAAAGGGCCAAAACACACAAAAGCACGACTTGTTGACGCCTTCTAGATGACATGTTAAGAGGGAAGTGATGCACGGGAGACCACTCCATATTAGAAACCTTAAATCTAGAACGCAAAAATTACGCATCATGTTTGATCTCACATGAGATTTTAGAACACAAAAATTGTGTGGTTGAGATTTATTTTATTCGGTTGGGTTATTTTGACACCAACCATTGGTGTCATATTATGACAAACTTGGCCAAACTGCGGACCCTACGGTGCTCTGTTAGAAAAATTAGTGGTTCCAACCCTTTAACCCCCTGACTTGTCCCCCCCCCCTTTCGCTCTACCCCCCTCCTGTCCACCAATTGGAGGGGGGGGGGAGGGGTGGCTGTGGTGGAAGGTGGCCTGGGGTGTAAGAAGAACTAATGTTTCAAATGGAGCACCGTAGGTGCTTCAATTTGGCCGAGTGTCATAGTATTACACCCAACCTTGGTGTCAAAATAACCCTTCAGTTATTTTAAAGCGAGAACAATAATGTGAATCAAATCATGCTTTCCTTAAACTGGAATGTGAGACAATTTTGGACAGACAAAATAAAAAGTGAGAAGATAATTTAGAACAGAGGTAGTAACTACCTGACATTTTATTTATTTTTTCTATTCTATGCACGTGTTTTGCTCCCTGGGTTGAGCTTTGTGCGGAAGTGTGTGTGTGTCCGTCCTAAAATTAGATTCTTTTGGAGTGTAGGTAACATCTACAGCTGGTGGTGGAACTCTTGTATTGGAATTTGGTGTGCTTAGCCGCTTAACAAACAATCCTGGTAAGTACATCTGGAATGCAATTATTATCTAACATTTTGGTATCAAATTTATGATTTTAGAATTTAGATACCAGGGCCCCAATGTCAAAGCACAGTGTATCATGAATATATCACATGATATTAGTTGAGCATTTGATTTCTGGTCCGATATTTTATTATATATGTAAGCTCATTGATACAAAGTTTTTTAAGAGGAAAATAGTGACATTGTTTGAATAATTATACTATGTACTAATGTACTAAAACATAAAGGACCTTGTCCTCTAAAAAAGAAGACCTTGGAGGTCAAGACTGTTATTCTCGTGATTCCTGGCTAGAAGGTTAATGATATCAATAAGCATGTGATTCAGAGTAGCATTATGAGGAGAATAATCAGCACTGACCATGCTTCCATGCATAAGTCCTGTAAGGTAACAAACCCTGGAGTTAGAAAACTTGAAATAATGGTGTTAAGTGCCACTATAATGATGATGCTTATGGATTACAATCTAAATGTAGCGTCAAGAACCAATTGTATTCAATTTAATGAATAAATACTACTCCCTCCGTCCCAAAAAGTCTTTCTTGTTTACTATTACGGCTTCTCGATAACTCTTATTTGTTTGCGTGTTTTTATTAATCATTTGATAAAATAAAATATTCTTGTCACCTCTTATTTTGTAGAGTTTTCGATGTAGTTTTTAAATATAATTTTTTATGTGTTATTTCCTTACCAATTTGCAAATAAAATCATTTTAAAATCTATGGGGTTTTGCACGTTAATCAAAGTAGGAAATTCTTTTTGGGACGGAAGGAGTATGAAGTATCCTTTTTGTACCTTCATGTTTTAAATGTCTAAAAGAACTAAGGTTATTTATGATGCATCTAACATGGCAAGGTTTTTCCAAAGAGTCAAATTGACTGTTAAAATTGTTCGTTTCAGTGTTGCAAAGTGAACACATTGTGTTTGCCCCCATCCTCTCAATTACTCTTTTTCTCTATAATCCGTGCCTCAAAATTATTTTGAAGTTTTGCTAACACCTTTCCTAATGCACCTCCAGTTTTTGAACAAGTTGCAAAGAATGCAATTCGAGGGATATGGGCTCGCCGGTCCAAGATTAATTTGGTTGGTGCACATATTGATGTTTTCACTGGCGAATGGACACAAAAGGTCTTATTTCCTTATGCTAACCACCTTTTCAGTATGTTTTTTAAAAACCTTTTCAGTACTTTCCACTTCTGCAATTATTATAATAGAAAAATATGGTTATACTTGTTCCATGACATCGCTTCCATAAAGTTTTTTATGTATGAGAGTGATTATTCAGTAATTGAGACCTCTGGCATGGATACATGCTGTGTCCAAAAGGTCTTATTTTCTCACGCCTACCACCTTTTCAGATTTAAAAATAAACCATTCAGTGCTTTCCACTTCTGCAATTATTATAATAGAAAAATATGGTTATATATGTTCCATGACATCTCTTCCATAAAGTTCCTTATATATGAGAGTAATAATTGATTATTCAGCAATTGAAACCTATGGCATGATACATACTGTGCGAGAGATTACACTCTAAAGGGAAGGGATGTTTGCGGCACAATATTTTGTTCCGTTGCCATGTCATGGGTGATTTATTCTCTTTTGATTAATCATGTACTCAAACTACTCATAGCCCTTTCCGGAAGATGCTACGACGCTTGTGAATGAACTGAAGCAAATAATGGTGAATCTCATGGGTGAACAAGGCCACACACCTCCATCGACTCGTGTAAATTCGGTCAAATTTGAGCAATGCTTAACCAAGTTGGTTGATGATCCAAACAAGCACATGGAAGAAGATTATCATAACAGTTAAGGGAGTTTAGGGTTCCAACAAGATCCAAAACAAAGAAAAGTTTAGTATCTCAATAAAATCTCAGCCAAATCAAAATTAGCGCACATTCATTCCCTTTTATAATTAAACATGTGATGCGTTCATCATATATCATTTGGTTTTGTTGGTGAAGCAATGACCAAACTAAAACATTCGCATCATCTGCTTAAAATATACAGGAAAACATAGCTCCAAGAAGCATGCTGGATGACACAAGTACACAACACAATCACAGTATTCTATTTGAAATTTGGCAAAGATGATTACTTGATATTGCTATATTATTGGGAACTTAATTTTCAAAACAATCCCACTCTGAGCCAAGAGAAAGTCAGTTTTGTGGTTTTGGATATGGCAAAAGAAACAAAGATTTTGTATTACCATTTACCAAGTGATTCAAGATGATCTCCAAATGCTGACGCTGATCTTCCAAGAAATTTTGCACATGCTTTTGTACCACTCTGGCGGTGACACAGTCAGCATAATTCATAACGTCAATTTGTTGGACAAACCTTAGACAATGATTATCCTTTGAACCTTGATAGTTCTATCAATTCTTATTCCTGGTAATTTATAGCCTTCCGTTCCCCAACACCTATAATTCAAAAACCTTTTCTTTAAATAGGCAGAAGATGTAGATGTCAAACTGACGGTTCATGAGCAGCCAATGGCTGAAATTTTGATCCAAAAATTCTTGCAGAAAGAAGTCACTCAAAGTTGATGCTCAAGGTTCTAGGTGCATCAATTGCTGCTCTCAGGAAATGAGCAGAGGACTGCCACAATTGGCGGCTATAGAATCTATATCGATACACTTTTGTGCTTCTAATTATGTTGCCCCAGCTGTCAGCACAAAATGGGTTATACTTGTGTTTGATGTCTCACAACAGTGGCAACACTGTAATGATACATAATCAGGAAAGAGTTACACACGCAACCCAGGGAATGTTTCCAACACATTACATCTGGCTCTGTTGCCAATATCATGAAAAATCCTCTTTTGGAAAATCTTAAATTCAAAATCTTAAAGAAGACTGACATGGATCTTGTGAATGATCTGAAGCAAACTATGCAACTCATGATTGAAAAAGGCCAGACACCTCTGACTCCACTTATGGTAATTCTGGCTATACAGGAGAAAGGTTTAACTATGTTGGTGGATGGTCAAGGTAAAATGGAATAAAGTCTACATAAAATCTAATGGAGTTTGTGGTGTCAATAAAACTCAAATGAAAGAAGTTCAGGCTTTAAATAAACATCCAAAAAAATCATTCACATTAGTTCCCTTCCCTTTACGTTTGAAGTCGTGATGTTTGCAACACATAATATGGTATTTGTGTGATCTGTGATGCCACAATTCTTTGACATTAAGACCATATTTGGCAATTATTCTAGATTCGATGTCCAATTTATTGAAGGGTAGCACATGTAATTGTTTTTTCTTCCATACCAAATTGTTGGATGTCTAGATGTTTTTAATGTTACTGGATATTTTTATAATTCTTGTTTATTAAGGCACCAAAGGGGGTTATATCTCAAGCAACATCCCTGTACTGGCTATTCATATTGTCTTGGTTGTTTCACGGCTTTCTTTTTTCATGATTGCGATGTTAAGAACTAGCTACCTTTTTTGTATTGAGTAATATTTTTCTCCTGAATTGGCATACCCTTGTAAATCTTAACTTGCTTTCATACTTTGTAGGAAGCTGGAATCGGTACAAGTGTAGACTCTTTCTATGAGTATCTTTTAAAGGTGATCTTGTTAAGGACAACTAATAAATTACCTGCCATTTCCCCATCCAATTGATGCACTCTTTAAACACGGATGATGTTTAATAATCAGCCTAGATGGATGCTCTGGAGTCCGTTAACTAGGGCTCCTATGCATCTTGAGCTGGAATTTTAATTGTGATTCCTCTTTTTTAGTATTTTTTGTAGAATCACTAGACTTAAGCTAGTATATAATGTGAATGATATTTTTTATCAGGTGTTTTTAGGGTAGGTCACTGACTAGATGTCTTAGACTCTTAGGCGCTAGGCACGATTTCTGTAACCAATAACATGTACTATGAATCACAAGTTTGATCATTGTAGTTTTTGAAAATGGAATTTATTTGTGAAACAATGATACCTGCCTAGCACATAGGTTGTGTAAAGTGTCTATGAGTTGAAGGAGTATGGTGATTGTTTGCTGTTGTGAAGGAAGTTGATGTAGCATGTGAATATGTGAGGAAGACATTGACTTCTTAAACTAAATTTAATTCAAAATTTAGGAGGTATTGTTGAGCTCTCTTCTAACTCAACCATAAGCTAATCGTTTATTTATTTTTTTAAAATATTTTATACACAACAATCTATCTCTTAGACGAACACAGGATCTTACAACATAATAGCAGTATGAAACTCAAATACATAATCGTGAAAATCATGTTTGATCAATGACGTTGGGTAAACTAGGCACTTAGGGCATCGTTTTCCAGTATAGATGAATTTCTAGAATTAGGCATTTTAAGGTAGGTCACCTAGACACCTACTAGACCTATTAGGCGCTAGGCACGATTTCTGTAAAAGATAACATGGACTTCAAAAATTATAAGTTTTGTCGTAGTAATTTTGTTACATAGCCTTTTTTGTCAATGAAAATTACTACGTGCTCGAGTACGGAACTAGAATAAATGATCGTGATATCTACCACATGCGAAACACACTATATTATGCCATTACACCCATGACTAATTAAAAACAAGACCAATTATGGTCTTTGAAGTTCCGCCGCCAAATCAGAATTTGAAGTCAATGATAAAGCTATTTCTCATTTGGGGAGGAACGCATCAATATTTCCTTCTAGATAGACGCTTAGGCCCTGTTCTTTTGGGTTTGAATTTCAGAGTTGGATGATGGAAGAAGTTAGAAGTTGGAAGAAACTTGAAGGAGTTTGAAAAAACTAGGAGTTGGAAAGTGTTCGAAGAATTAAAGTGTTAAAAAGTCACTCAAATAAATGATCACCCAAATACATATGTAAGAAAACTCTTATTTTGGATAAGAAAGAATCATCCTTGTCCGTGTTTGAGGTGGTTTATTATAAATTCGGATATATAGTGTTATTGTATATTCATCATATATAAATACCCCTTTTAAGTCGTTATTGGAAGAAACTGGAAAGAGTTGGAAAAAGTTCGAAGTTAATTTTCCCAACCCAAAAGAACAAGGCCTTATCCTCAAGCGTGAAGCGTGATTTCAATTTGCTCTTGTCATCTCAGGTGGTGTCTTGTGCTTATGAACCTCACATAACAGTATAATTTCCTTGCTTCCCCAATTTTGGTGGCAATGTAAGACATTGTTTGACTACCACATACTGTCGGTTATCATAGAGTGTCTGGGCCTCTAGGGAAGTCTAGGGACCTTGAAAGCAATTAGCCTGCCGGTTACCACATAGTGACACATGGGGTCACATCAATGGTGTTTCGGTTGCAGAAGATTTTTTCACATTGATAGTGAGTTGTCCCTACTGCTGAATATTGTGAACTCCATGATGAGGCTTAATGGCGGGGGGAGCAGTCAATATGTGGACTGGCTGGTTTTGGCAGATTATGCATTGTTGTTACATGTCATGCATGGCTGCAACTCTAGTATGAGTTCTTGCATGCAACAGTTCATGGAAAAAATCTTGACTCCAGTTTTGACCTTCTTTACCTAAACCGTTTTACTTTTTTGTTATTTCTTTCACATCTTATCACTCTATATCCTATGGTCTTTGTTAAAAAAAGAAGAGATGCAGTTCGCAGCATTGTATTTTTGGTAACTTTAGACGATCCAAACAGGGTGTCATTTTTCCTCTTATTAAAGTGAGTGCTCCTAAGAATGTCAGCATTTGATGTTTATAACAAAGCTTGTAACATTAAGTTTCCTTCATGTCACTGAATCTCTAAAGATATTTCACTGTCCATTGTTATATGGAGAACATTATTTATGTTACTGAGTTACTCCCTCCGTCCCATAGCATGTGTCCATAATCGCAAAGGTACAGATTTTTAATTATACTAAGCAACAAAGAAATAATCAAATATACCTATATTTTTAAAACTAAATGTTGGTTCAACTTAATTTAATGCACTCAACTTATTTGTGATCCTTATTATTATTATTATTATTACTATTATTATTATTATTATTATTATTGTTGTTGTTGTTGTTGTTGTTGTTGTTGTTGTTGTTGTTGTAATTGTTGTTGTTAATATTATTATTATTATTTTTATTATCATTATGATTATAAAACATTAAAATGTTGAAAACTAGCTTTTTTTTCCTTCTCAAATCAAACTCTTTTTGGGACAAAATAACTTCAGAAACAGGACTCTTTTGTTGGATGAAGGGAGTACTATGGAACAGAAACACTGCAAGTTATGGAACTTCTGGTCCCATATACTGCCTCCGTGACTCTATCCCAAAATATACTTCACACTTTCCTTTTTCCTATTAAGGAATATGGAATAAAACATGTGGCTCACAAGTTTTCTCTCTCCTCTAATCAAATTTCACTTACAAACCTTTTACTTTTCAATCCTTTTCTTAAACTCCGTGAGGTCAAACCAATAAGTTTATTTTGGACAGAGGGAGTATTATATAAGCTACTGTCTTCTATTTTCATTGTATTTTTTGCCACTAACTAGTAAAATGCTAATCTTCAATCCAAAAATTTTTGTCCGGTTTGTGAAGGTGCATTCTTCTGGTTCCTTAACCTAACATTTTTTTTTTATTGACTTTTAGGCTCATCTATTATTTGGAGACAAAGAGTATCTATTCATATTCCAGGAAGCATACAGAGCAGTAATGACCTATCTATATAGTGACCCCTGGTACAAATTGAGCAGTTGAGCTTATGAGGTTTAAGCTCAATTATACTTTGTGAATTGCTAGTTGTAGAAGGGCGGGCTCTGTAAAGAATGATTTGTGCCTGCACATTATAGCGACCACCATTCTAGAAAACTTCCTAATTCTTTTTTTAACATAGCTTGTTTAGCAATTGAAGCTATAATACATAATTTTCTCCTCACCCTTTTAGGTATGTTGAAGTAAATATGAATTCTGCTGCTCTTGTATGGCCATTATTTAACAGCCTGCAGGCGTTCTGGCCAGGCCTTCAGGTAATTGTACTATGATTGCTTTCTCTTGCCCAAACAATATATTTTGTCTTTTAGAAGTCATAGATATTGATAGTGATTGGTATTTTATAGGTTTTAGCTGGGGACATTGAGCCTGCCATTCGAACACATGCTGCCTTCTTTAGTGTCTGGAAAAAATATGGTTTTACACCTGAGGGTTTCAACC